CATTGAGCGATGAGGCAGTGAGCGGTGGGTGGCGAGGCAGATTTTAGCGGCAGCGGCAGAGAGAAGGAGAGAATGATGAGAAGGCCAACGGCGAGTGGCGATGCAGTGAGCGTCTCACCATTGAGCAGAGAATAGTTGATGTAGAATACACAGCAAACACGTTTATGTCAAAGTGGGACAGACGCAAGCCCAAATACGGACCTGGTCGAAGAAAATAACTTGTTTCGAAGAAACAGCCGTAACTTTCAAACCGTACGTTGGAATTGGACGAATTATATATGAAAATCGACTATCTCGACGAGACAGAGCCATCCAAACTAACCCCCTTGGGTTTGGATTGCGTTCTCAGTTTTGCCAAATTCCTTACGGTTTGAGAGATATTTGCATTTTTGTCTGTTTTTTACTATTTTTAGTAATATTTTAGGAGTCTGTTTTATTTAGGAAACAAATCCGATTTGATCTCAGATTTGACCGATGGACTTTCCTAATCATAAGGAGTCTTTTTAGGAGTTTTAATGTTTTAGGAATTCTTTATCATTTTTGGTAAGTTAAGAGTCCTTATAGGAGTTAGAGTCCTTGTAGGAGTCTTATTTCTTTTTCTATTTAAGAAGAGTCTTGTAAGCCCTAGAGGCATAACTTTTGATTAATAAAATTTTGTTTTTATTCAATATTTACTTCATGGATTCGAAGCTCTTCGTGGATTCGAAGATTTTCCTTGGTGGATTGTGAGGCTATTACTTCCGCGCTACATCAATAGTGAGGTGAAAGTTTTTAGCGATAGGGGCATTACAGAGAAGAGAGAATATTTAAACGGTCGGATATCAAAATTAAGGTTAGGGTTTGGGTTTCGATCTTTCTTTTTTTAATTGCGATAGGAAGTGCTCGTATCTGATTGCCAATAATAACATTGGCGAAGGGACATAGGTGACAGAAGGCACCGTTGCCAATGTTGTCATTAGTGGCATGCACAGCGTCCTTTGCCAATGGCCTGTCAACTTTAATCTATTTTTTGTTGGATTTAAATCTAATTAAATCTAATTGTGGGCACATATGATTAATCAATGTGTATTGCTATCTTTAAGGATAACCCACTTAAAGTGATCAATTAATTTTGGATTAATGGGTATTTAAATAAATCATGGGGTTATATTTGCAGATACCAGGTTGTAATTGTAATTTGATGAGGGGCCAAATTACAAATGTACAACACCTATATATATGGGGTTACGGTCCCTAATCTAGGGTTAGCCACTCTCATTCTCTTATCCCCATCTAAAGAGATCCATAAGGGAGAAACCCTATGGTTAGAAGATCATCAAAACCCTAATCAGGTTTTCCTCAATGGATTCAGGTATATGCTTCCGCTCCTTTTGATTCTTGTTAATCTCTTTAAATTAATCATGGCTTTAAGTTTTAGATCTTAAATTTTAGATCCAACAAGTAGTATCAGAGTCACCGTTGATTTGTTCTAAGAGACTAAGATTAAAATTAGGGTTCTTTGATCTTAATTTGTGTTTTATTCAGATCTGTTCACGAATAAACAGTAACGTTTTCGATTTTTCGGATGAACAGTAAAAAACCACCGTGAACAGTAAAGTTTTTAAATTTTTGGAATTTTTTCTTTGATTTATCTTAGATCTGGATCAAGAAAATTTATTTTTTTTCGATTCTGGATCTGGTTTTGAAATAAAATCGAGGAATTTTTGGTTTTATTTTTGTTTGGTCGTCAGTCCCGTGCTCCTCGCCAGTGAAGTATCGTTGGCGGCCTCGTCTTCGACTTTGACGGTGACGGCGGCATCAGGAAACCCTAGGGTTTAGACCTTGGGTGAAGGAGCAAGCGGTGGCGGCGGTTCAGATCTTAACCCTAACGGGTGAAAGAAAATTAGGGCAAGAGGAGGTTACCTCGATTTTGGGTGAGCTTCGTGCTCGATTTTAGGTGAGCTTCGTGCTCAGTTCAGGCAAGCTTCGGCTTGAAATTTTTAGCGAACCTCAGTTTGCTTCTGACGAGCTTCGTGCTCGAATCCAACGAACCTCGTGTTTGTTTTCTGACGAGCCTCGTGCTCAATTAAGGCGAACCTCGTGTTTGTCGATTCAGGCACAGTCGATGTTCGTTATTGGCGAACTCGACGTTCGGATCTTAGCGAGCCTCGTGCTCAATTAAGGCGAGCATCTCGAAGCTCGAATTTCAGCGTCGCTCGACCTTGGCGAGCTTGTACCTCGTTGGCTCATTTGGGTAGTTCAGACGAGTCTCGTACTCGTCCTCGGGTGAACTTCGAGGTCAAAGGCGAACAAGAACCTTAATTCGAACTGAGCTTCAGTTCCTTGTGAAGGCGAGCCTGAGATCTCCCTCTCTGTTCATCAGCTAAAAGGAAATGAAGGCAACTCCTGTTTGGGGTTTCTGGTTCTTTAGTTGGACTAGGGCACAAGCCCACTTAAGTTTATTAAGTTCTTGGGCCTGGACTTATCCAATTGAGTCCATTTGGTTATGGGCCCTAATTAAGCTATGAAAAATTCTGTTAATTCAAATTAAGTTGTTTAATTTGAATTAATTTTGGTAGTTAATCAATTATTTCATTCAAATAATATGACACTAAGATATTAAGTTATCTCTCATTCCAAATGATTAATTAAAACAAGATGTTACCAAAGTAACCTCTCTTGTGTAGATTATTCATGAGGGATGTCAGATGTTTGTGTGTATGTTTTCGTGTAAATATTTAATCGGCCCAAAGGAAGGTTAATATTTATTTAGACTACATACACATCTGCAATGATAAACGTGTGATAATTATAAGGTTTACATGTGAATAATGAATCGATCCAAAGATAGTTTCATTATTTGACGTGAGTTATTGTCTATGTTTGATCATTGCAACAAGGTATCAATTACAAGTTAATATTACTGTCCAAAGACTTGATATTAATGTTATGCTAGATATCTTGAGATGGGATTTGTCATTACTTGAATTTTATTGATTACTAATTATGGTTAATGATGTGAGTATCTTTTGTTTATTTCAGCTAATGCATCTGCTGCAATAATTTCTGCTAACATCAACTCAATTCCCATGCTCAATGGGACAAATTTTAAGGTTTGGAAAGAGAACATTTTGATTGTTCTTGGCTGCATGGATCTAGACCTTGCATTAAGAACTGAACAACCCCAAATTCTCACTGCGGAAAGCACTCCTGATGCAAAAAAGGAGTATGAGAAGTGGGAGCGTTCAAATCGCATGAGTCTTATGATCATTCTGATGCAAAAAAGGAGTATGAGAAGTGGGAGCGTTCAAATCGCATGAGTCTTATGATCATTAAGCGTGACGTTCCGGAAGCCTTCAGGGGCATAGAATTCGAAGGGATTACTAAGGCTAAAGATTTCCTTGCCGAAATGGAAGCCTTCAGGGGCATAGAATTCGAAGGGATTACTAAGGCTAAAGATTTCCTTGCCGAAATTGAGAAATGTTTTGCGAAAAATGATAAAGTAGAAACAAGCACGCTTTTAGCTCGCTTGATTTCAATGAAGTATAAGGGCAAAGGAAATATCAGGGAGTACATTATGGAAATGTCTCATATTGCTTCAAAGATTAAGGCACTTAAACTCGATCTTTGTGATGAGTTATTGGTGCATCTGGTTTTGTTGTCTCTTCCTGCACAATTTAATCAGTTTAAGGTCAGTTATAACTGCCAAAAGGAGAAATGGACTCTAAATGAGCTCATTTCATACTGTGTGTAAGAAGAAGACAGGTTGAAGCAAAATAAGACTGAGAGTGCTCATTTGGCCTATGCCTCTAAGGATAAGGGCAAGAAAAGAAAGAATGATAATAAAGCTGCTAAGAGTCCAGTTCAGAAGAAAC